TCAACAAGTAAATTTGGTTCACAATCATTAAATAATTTAACTTGTTGTAATGATTCTAAATGTACTTTAATAGCAAGATCTTTACGTAATTCTCCACTTAAATCAGAATTTAAAACCATTTCTTCATTTAATACTTGTCGATTTGTATATAAATAATCAAGCCATTTTATAACTTTGGATTCAAGTTTTCGATTAACTGCACGAAATTTCATATAACGTTTGATTTCATCCATTTTTTCTCGAACTTGTTGTCCTAGACAAAGAAGAAAATTCGTTTCTTAAATATTTTCCTTTTTTTTGATATACTTGATTGATTTTGTGATGATATCATAGTACCAAGACTACCAATTATAGTTGCAAATATAAGTATACCTATAAAGAACATTTCTAAAATTATCAACGTGAATAGTTTGTTTATACATTTCTCATTCACTACAAACATGAACTCTTTACGACTTGAGTTTGCCGATAGAAAATAATCATTTTCTACCACTTGACATCTTTAGTTCATTCATGCTTACTTCTCGATCTATTTTCCCTTGACTGGTTTTCCACTACAGAGTATAGGATATACTAATCTATTCAATAAGTCTCAACAACGAATAAATTCAAATCTATGTTATAATACGTGATGATTTTTTGTAAACATACCAATCATATAATCAAATAATACAAATACATATTCCGGTCTTTTCGTAGGCAATGGTACATCACCAATAGTACTTAATAAAAGTGTTGACCAATAAAAACAATAGGTATAAAGCATTAAAACTGTTTCATTTTTAGCTGAATTTGGTAATACCCATCTATCAGTACCAAAACCTAAATATTGACAAGTAAGTACATAAGCACAGCAATTCCTAGAAGAAAAAAAAGAATTTAATTATTCTTCTATTCAAATTAGACTTTTATATATATATTTACCAATGAATAAGTGTAAGTGTTAAACATACGAGACACCATATTCGAAATGCATTAGGAAATCTAGTACGTGATTCTGTTAATTCTTGAAATTCTAACAAACGGTTAATACGTAAAAATCGATTACAACGTATTATAGAAACAAAACGAAAGGATGGAATTAAATAAATAAGATCAGTTGGAATAATCGATAAAAGATCACGGAAATAAAATTCACGTGATGTAAAATATTTACGAGATAAAACATGATGATTACGAACAAAAAGACCATGACTAAAATAGCCTAAAAGGAAGAGAAACAAAAAAATTCTTCTCTTTTCTTCTCTATATATCTTATTCTTTATTTACCTGTTCTCGATTGTATAAAAATATCAATTAAATATACACTATCAAATATATAATCTAATGATATCCAAAGAATTTTCAATTGTTTATCCATATCTTTAAATGAATATCGAGCTGGTATTAATAAAAAATTATAAATAACAGCAAGTGAAATAATTCCAAGCCAATAATGATATATATAATTTTGTGGATCAATTACAAAACCAGTACTAAAATATGTACAATATATATCTAATTTATTGATTAAATTATAATCTACGCTTCAAAGTCTTCATTTCGAATAGGTGCTTCAGTATTTTTATTATGTTCTTGTAAAAGATTAGTTTGTTGTTCATCTTTATTCTTAGTTGTACAACAACTAGTAATAGGATGGAAAATACGTTTTCGAAATTTCTATTATAGATTTAAATAAAATTATTAATATGGAAGAATTTTTTTTCTTGAAATAAAACCTTTAATTTACTATTTGATGATGCAACGGCTTGCTCTTCTATATTCAACATAATCGCCTGGATGCGTCTTCTTGCTTGGATTAAATGTCAGTAAAAATGAAAAGAACTATATATGACGATGGCATTTCCGTAAGCTTATTT